GGGAGGGAGGGAGGGAGGAAGGGAGGGAGGGAGTGAGAGGCTGAGAGCGATATTGACATTCCGTGGATGAGGATCTTATTCTAGGGAGGGGTGTTCTATTTTCATGTACGGGTTCAAGACGGTGCATTATTCTCTATCTCAGTAGGGTGGGGTACTCATTTCAGGGGGTGGGGTGGTGGCAGTAAGGAAATCGTCGGGAATGAACTTGCCAATGATGATTCAGACACTCACCCCACCCACCCCCTCCTCCCCCACCCCTCCCCACCACCCCTCCCACACCCCCTATCCATCCCCACCCTGTCCGACGAGTTTTGACCCCCCCCTCCTGCGCCATACCGTACCCCTCATACAACCTTCCGACTACCTACCCATGGACCGTACTAGAGCAGGTGTCATCTCTACCCTGGTACTGACCACCCCTACCCCATCGGACTCTGACCACTCCTCATTCCGACGATCACCCCTGCGCTACCCCACCCCACCCCCTGTCATCCCACGTCTTGACCCGGATCTCCACAAACTCTCCTTCAGTCAATTTGTTTACTCAACAATTTCTCACCACCCCCTAATTCCCCTCTAAAATCACCGGTACTTGCAGGCCGATTGATAGTACTGTATCAGTAAGTTTACAAGAAGTCTATTTTCCACAGTACCGGTGCATTATCCATGGAATCGCTGTGAAAACGAGGGGTACTTTCAACCCCCACCGAAGCGATTATAATCAGCTTTTCCGATGACGTTCGCAAGGATTCACTGAGATCGGCCGGGCCCGCCCGATCGGACTGCCGGGGCCCCGTCACTGAGTAATGAGACCGTGTGCTGTATGAGTGCTCCAAGGAATGCAAGGAGGGCAAGCTAGAAGGGGAGGGGAGGGCAGGAGGGTCAGGAACGAGGAGGGCAGATGACGTCATGCGGCAGCAGAAACGACGACGAGTAGACGGGGATTCAGACAAGTCTGAGCGTTTGAGACTCAAGTGATTTCAATCGATCCATAACAATACCTCCCTGACGTTTGTGAAGCCGCTCACAAGAGTAACAGCGTTTCTAGGCTGATCTGAGGCGCTGCAATGCATTCAGCTTGAAATCAGAGATGGCAGCAGAGGGTGACGGTAAGATGAAAGACCACCATGATACGCCACTGATGTGAGCCTCAGACGCTGAAGTTGAAGACATCGAGAATGTGATAAAATTGTCTCCACTCTTCATGCTGATCATTTTGAATTTGCAGGAAGATGACGAGGAAGAGGGAAAGGCAGTTCACTTTGAGAAGGTGAGAGCACTAGCAAGATCTAGCTCGCTGCTGCTGGTTTGTATTGAGGAGCTCTGGTTGTCCTGTCTTGCAGCTCGAGGTCATCGAGCCACAGAAAGACACTGCGAGTGCCTCTGTGGCTCGATCCTCGAAGCACAAGAAGAGCATGCTTCTCTTCGGCATGGTACCCCATCCTTGTCTCGAGCTCACTGCACGCAGCTGCTTGTCAGCCGATGACGGTCACAGAGACTTGACGAGGATGCGCAGAAACAGGCCGCCCTCCCCAAGGTTGATCCCTTCATGCCGGGCGCTCAGATGCTTCACGTCGACCCCCTTGTGGTGAGTGAGGAGGCTGAAAGAGAGAGAGAGTTGAGTGACGCTGCTGCCAGTCGTCGAAGCCCAAGAAGAGGACGGAGAGGATCATCGGTTCTCTTGCCCTCGCCCACTCGTCGATCTCACTCGTCGAACGGCAGGGAAGAGGGGTTGTCAGCCTGAGACTGGAGCTCGAGTCTGGTTGGCCTTGGGGTGTCGCGGCCTTGGGGTGAGAGGAGCTTGCCTGTGCGCTGGAGGCTCGCTGACGTGGCACTGCAGGTGGAGGGGGAGGAAGGGATCGGTGAGTTCTGCTCGGGGCAAGGAAGGGGAGTAGTGATCGTTTCCGCGCAGGAACCATAGAGGAGGTGCTCGAGGAAGGGGAGTGCATGGTCGGGCTTATAGTGAGTGTACTGCCTTGTCTGAGACCTGGCAGGTTCGTTGGGACTCCTCTGGCCTCGCACACACATACATGTGCGGCAAGTGAGTTGCTCCTCCTCCTCCTCCCCCCCCCCCCCCCCCCCGCGTTCAGCCTCACTCCGCAACGCCTCCAGGTTCAGCGTCTACCATCTCGCAGTGTTCGACTACCTGGAGCAGAAGTCCTGGATGCTCTTGAAGCATGAGGTACCCCCGTGCTCCTGGTCCTCCGTTAGCTCAACCCATTCGGTCAGCACAACTTCAAACAAGGAAACGCTGGGAAAGTGAGATAGGAATGACATATGTGACGCTGCCGGCTGACAGTTCACCAGCCTCCTCCGATCGAGCGGCAGAAGGAGCTGGAGACGTTGCTGGGGTGCGGCTGAGAGGAGGTTTACAGGGGAAGTCAAGCTGACTCTGAGCAGATATCGGATGGAGGAGCAGCTGAGCAAGCGAGTCTCCTACCAGCGGAAACAGTGCCTGCTGCAGTGAGAGCGTCAGAGCGTGAGAGCGTGAGAGAGAGCGTGACAGTGAGAGAGAGCGAGAGAGAGAGAGAGAGAGAGAGAGAGAGGGGGCTGATGGAGCTGCTTGATGTTGTAGTTGTGTCTGTAGATGGTTTGAGTTGTTGTTATTGTTGTATTGATGTTGTTCATTCTGATCTAGTTGTCTGTAAATGTCTTAGCCTCGGAAGTGAAACTCTCACCGAACAAAAGAAGCAGCTACGAGCTAGGAAGGACGGAGATTTCAAGTCCACCTCAGAGATGAATAAGGACAGGAGCAGAGGCAGCAACTTTCTCCTACTCCTCCTACTAGAGGCCGTCATGGTTCTGATCTTAGCCATCCACCACCCCTACCCCCATTTTGACCGCCATTACTACCAAATTACCCTCGATATTCCATAGCAAACAAGGGGTGATCAATTGGTGTCTAGGGGGTGGGGTCTGTGCAGCTGACACAAAATAGAAGTGGCAGGGATGAGAGGAGAGGAGATCAGAGGAATGGCGAAGGAGAAGAGAGATGGTGGGGAGGGGAGACGGAGATTGGATGAGCTCAGGAGAACAGACTAGCGGGAATGAAGAAGAGGACCGGAAGAAGAAGAGCCGAGGCCGGGATTTAGAGTTTGTTAGGACAAGAACGTAGAAGAGAAAAGAGATATGATGCTATGATGAGGTAAAGATGCAGAAGGATGGTTAGATTGATCATGAGATGTTTTGGTGGGGAATGATGTCCTGGAGGAAAGAATTTGAGGCCGCCCGAAGCTGAGCAAGAGAGCTTGCGTGGGATTTGGGGGAGGGAGTCAGGGGAGGGAGTCACAGTCTAAAGAGTTAGAGAATTGAATCAAGGAACAACACGTCATGAGGCAGGAGGAGAATGTCAGAGGAGATCTGAGGTGTTAAACTCCACAAGATAAGACGGGAAAGAAGTTGAACGTGAGGTTGTGTGCAAGACGAGGTAAGGAGAGGCTGCAAATTTGGTGAAGTGGAGTGTATGCAGAGGAGGAGAAGAGTAGGAGATGATGAGAAGACAAACTTGCAAACAAGCCAAGATAGTAAATAGTAGGAGCGAAACAGAGAGAGAGGTGTAATTGTGCGCATGTTTGGTCTGATTCTTAATGTTCAGATCCCCAGACCTCATCGCATGAAGTCTGTGATAGCACGGATCGATCGTTCAAGGTAGATGCTGAGCTGGTCGCTGTGAGCTTTTGGACGCGGAGCTTCCTAGCATGTTATAAGTGGAAGTCTCCCAGTCAGTATGTGTGCCTGTAACTAGACGCGTCGGGCATGCAGGACTTGCAGCAAGAAAGCGGCAGCCGCGACTTTTCTTCGTTTCATGATCATGGGAGAACAGAAGGACTGAGAACTGAAGCTCAGGAGGAAAGTTCCAGCTCGCGGCAGCTTGACGGTGCCATGTCGGTCCAGGCGCACAGCAGCAGCAGCAGCCCACCCACTGAGGCAGGACAGGCAGCAAGGGAGGCGAACGGAGAGCGGACGTCAGATGTTGGTTCAAGTTCGCAAGACAATGCTCCTTCCCCTCCTGTGAACCACTTCTCCTCGAACGCTGGTAACTCATCGCACTCGCACAACTTTGGGTCGCAGTCGAAGCGACCGAGAGCCAACGCGCATGAGGCCGACAATGAAAGAAGCGAAAGAAACGGCAGCAAGCATCTGCAGAAGCGGTCCCTCAGTGAAGCAATTGCTATATGGAATCGTGGCCAGAGGTCTAGCCGTCCAGCCCAGAGCAACGGGAACATCGAAAGTTGGCTGCTGTACCTGCCTGACGTTCTGCTCCATCGCATCTACCTCTCGGCGCCTGAGATGGTCTCGACGCACACCGCTGTCTGCAAGTAAAGCCTCCTCGTGCCCTCCGTCTCCTTGTGACTTATCAGCGTTGCAGGCGTTTCCGCGAAGACTTGTGCAAGGCGCATGTGAGCCTCGAGGGAGGAGGAAGGGGGAGGAGAGGAGGAGGAGGGAGCGGGCTGTGGGGGACTTCTAATTCGCTCGCAGTTGGTGCACTTGAAGCTGCGGTCTTTCTCGAGCGAGAAGGGGCAGGCAGACAGTCTGAAGCGATTCGACGGAGAAGTGTCGGTGTACGTCAAGGACTCTCTGGGACGGTGAGGCGGAAGGCAGGGAGGCAGGGAGGCAGGGAGGCAGGGAGGCAGGGAGGCAGGGAGGCAGGGAGGAGGTGGGCAGCACTGAAAGCACTGTCAGGTTTCAAGTGTGTCGGGGCTTGTTGGAGCTGCTCAAGGGCGGTTGGCCGAACCTGACGGGCCTGAACCTCGAGAGCAACAGGATCCAGCTGGACAACTTGACGCAGCTCACTGACCTCCTACACGGATGTCCCAACCTCAAGTCCCTCGAGATCGGCGACAACAAGGTCGAGTACTAGAGCACCTCCTCCCCCCCCCCCTCGCCGCCTCTGGTCTCACCCGTTCGCAGCTCGGGGTCGACGGGATCAGATCGCTTGTTTCACCGCAGGACCTGTAAGACTCGGGGGTGAGGCTGCTGACTCACTGAGCTGATCCTCAGCTACACCAACTTGACAACCCTCGATGTCAAGGAGAACGAGCTGCGAGTTCAAGGTCCCCACCCTTACCCTCCTCTTTGCCCTCACCTTCCCAGCAGGATCCCTGCTGCTGTCCGCGAGACTCCAGACCTGCACAAGGCTGACGCACCTCGACGTCTCCGACAACCAGCTGGGGCTACAGGTAGAGGCTCATAGAGGCTCCTCTTCCTCGAGGCTCCTTCCCCCGCAGCTGCTGATGGCAGCGCAGGGCATCCGACATCTGACGCGCGCGTTGGAGCCTGGACATCTCTCACGCCTCGCGGTCACACGCGCTGAGGTCTCGCCATCCTCCTCACCTGCTCGCAGACCCTCAACCTCTCCCGCAATCAGCTCGACTTCGAGAGCATCGAGGTCCTCGCCCGCGGCCTTCAGGTGCTGGTCCCTCCTCCTACATTCTCTCGCTTCCTGCTGCTGCTGCTGCTGCTGCTGCTGACAGGCTGGCAGCACAATTCTTCGCTCACCTCCCTGTCGCTCGGAAACAACAAGGTGGATGAGAGTAGGAGAGAGAGAGCTCATCGCAGCTGCAGGAGTTCGGGCCGGTCGGAGCAAGGATGCTGGGGCCTGTGCTGAAGGCGAATACTCTCCTGACGCATCTTGACCTTCAAGTGAGCAGCGAGAAGAAAAGAAGAGCCGGGGGAAGGAGAGGGAGCGGGAGATTAAGGGAGGAGAGGGGAGCAGTACGGGACAAAGTGAAAAGGAAGGGAGGACAACAAGGGAGGGAGGGAGGGGGGGAGGGAGGGAGGGAGGGAGCTTACAGCAGCTCTCAGGTATCTCAATACTCTTGGCGAGAAAGGCGCCGTGATGGTTGGGATCGCTCTTGCAAGATGCACAGACCTGAGGCGACTCGATTTAGGTGAGCGAATTGCCTCACCGCCATGCTGCTCCTTGTGACACCCGACAGGTCTCAACAACTTGGCGGCAACAGGAGGGATGGCAGTCATGCAGTGGCTCCCCAACTTCACCAGCCTGCGGCATCTCAACCTCGCGTTCAACGACATTCCTGGTGCTTCCTCCACACACACACCTTCCCCTCCCCCTCCCCCTCCCCCTCCTCGTCCTCCTGCTCATCTTCCTTCTTGCCACTATCGTCTACCTCTACGTCTTGTCTCCTCTCCTGTTTTCTTACGTCATATCCAGGCGCAGTGACCAAGAAGATCCGCTCGATCGCTCATTCACGTTGCGAGTGCGTCTTCTACAAGATCTGAGGAAATGTTGCTCCGGTTGAGGAGGAGGAGGAGGAGGAGGAGGGGGAAGAGGAGGCGAGAGGCAGGGTTGGTTCATTACAGCAGTTGCTCAGCTTATTTTTGGTTTGGTGCGGGTGGGGGCGAGGAAGGAGTAGATGGAGACGCACCCGACGGCTGCGATGGTCACCAGCACCTGCCACGAGGTCAGCGGGAGGAGGAGGGGGAGGAGCAGACCAGGCCCCAGTCGAAGGGCGCGTTGTGAACAGGATGCATGCAGCTGCTGAGCAAGAGAAGCTCCTGCAACGAGTGAGAAGAGAAACAGAGGAGGGGGGACGGGGGAGAGCGAAAGAGAGGGAGCGGGGAAAGAGAAAAGAGGTTTGGGGGGAAGGGGGGGGAGAGGAGAAGGATGGGCGAGCCTACTTGAGTATGCCGAGCAAGATTGCGAAAATGTCGAGCGTTTCTAAGTGCACTGTGAACGTTGGGAAGAGCGCTCTGAAAGTCGAGCCGATGGACCTGCGGCCAGGGTGAAGACGAGGGGAGGAGGAGGAGGAGGAGAAAAAGAGAGGAGGTAGGAGAGGAGGAGTGGAGGTAGTGGATGTGCAAGTCTCACATCAGCGATCGCTTTCTTCCAGCTGAGCTTGACAGCGACGTGGAGCTGCTGCAGCGTCACGACACGAGAGCAAGAGAAGGTCAGAACCTGAACGAGTCGATCATGCGGAACCGCCGCAGCGACCTGACGAGGAGGTGGAGGAGGAGGAGGAGAAGGAGAAGGAGGAGGAGGAGTCAGTACTTGTCAACTTAAGTTTGACTTCACCTCCAGGTTGTCAAGGTTCGTCGACGTTCCTTGGAGGATCTCAACCCCCTCGTTCACCAGCTGGGTCCTCGTCAGCTCAGCCCCAGCTGGAGAATTTCACTTTCAACCTCCAGCGAGTCGCGCAGGGCAGCAGCGACGTAGTGGCGATGAGCAGAGTCAACATGGAGGAGGGAGAAGTTGGCCCAGCGAGGCGAAGAATGCGCCAGAGGACTTGCGACTCGTCATGCTCCAACACAACCACAACCTCCTCCCCCCCCCTCCTCCTATTCCTCCCCCCTCTCCTCGTCCACTACCACTACAAGCTGGAGGTTGCCCGTGAGCTCCTCCTGCTGGGGCTGAGTTGGAGAGACCAGAGCTGGTGCTGCGGGGAGGTTGAGATGCTCCTCGGCAAGTTGCAGGTGCATTGAGAAGGACGGCGTGGGAGGCGCATCACTCGTTGGACCGTCACATCCTCTCCTCCTCTCCTCTCCCTGAGTTTCTCCTCCTCCGATCTTCTTCTCACCTGCCAGTTGCTGAACTGTAGCTGCTAGAAGGCTCGCAGAGGGTTGCGCATGTTCCAGATTATGACCTGCTCCTCGTC